CTGACCGTTTGGTATATTATCACAATAAAACCAAAATATACATCTAACTCCTATAAATGTGCTGGAAATAGATGTGTTTGTGTATGCATCACTGCATATTGTAAATGTAATGTTAAAAAAAGCTTCTATTTATGTATACTTTCCGCACGTAAAGTTTTATTGTGATATGAGTAAAGTTGGGGGAAAAGCATATTTGACTGTGGTGTCTCGCCTTACGGGATCTTTGTCATCATGATAAACATAATAATCATGTGACTGTGGTCACAGTTTCTTCCTGGGATACTTGGCTTTGGCCACCGGCAAAAAGAAAAGCTGAGCTCAAATATTCTTTTTTTTGTTTTGTTTGACAGCCAGTTAAGCCCACTGTTATGTTAACTTTCACCAGTAAGAGGTGGCTGAACTTAGCAGCTGTAGCATACAGTTGCCATGGTCACCTGCAGTCTAATACTGTACCAACTATACAGTAGCTGCACTGATTGGTTTGTACTTTAGACTAGACTAATCAGGTTGAATGGCCATTTCATTTGATTCACTGAAAAAAAATCTGAGATTCGGGAGCAATTTAGAAATCTCGGACACAACTTTAACTTGAAATTGAAATTAGACATTTATTTTCAGCAGAGCAAGAATCTTACCTGTGTGTAGTTTAAATCACAATGGTCTCCCAACACATGAATGAATCAAATGCTTCTTTGTGCTAAAAAGGCAAGACAATTCTTTTCTAAAAATAACCTTATAATACAACCTTAATATAAGGTAGATAAAATGACTCATTATCCTGTCTTATTTTTTTATTTCATGTAAGAATTCATAGATGCACCATCTGGGACAGCTGCAGCAGAGAAAGGATTATGTTAAAAAAAAAAATGAAAATGAGAAACACAGTTTATGTGTAGATCAATACATGAATAACTTTAGTGAGAGAATAAAGGTCCCAAGAATAAAAAAGAAGCCAAAATACATGTTGAACATTTAAACTTATTTTTTATTTGCTGTGTAGAGTGTATATCCCTGTACACCACAGTCACATGTATATGGTTAAGCAAAGAGGACTTCTCATAAAAGAACTAGGACTTGCCAGAGCTGATTACCGCTAAATTCAGGTCAAATGATCTCAAAGAGAACCCTCTTGGTCAATGCTTCTAATTTATTGTGTTTACTTCGTACCCGTTTGTGAATCTTAACTGAGTATTATTTATTCTCTTTTGTACCATATGACATTTGTTAAAGCCTGTTTATGTCTGCATTGGATTTATTGTTTTAGCAATGTTCTCATGTTGGCCTGTTATCCAGGTATCTAAAAAGATTTAAACATTTTATCTGGTTAAATTGAGGGAAAAGTAATATTTCTAGAAAACTGCTTTTTCTGTGATTCCACAGTGAACTGTGTGTGTGCGTGTATGTGTGTGTGTGTGTGTGTGTGTGTGTGTATTGTCTTAGGAGCTCTCCTCGCCTCATTGAACAACAGTGATGAAATGGAGATGAGTTAAAGTGCTAACACAAAGACTGACCAGACCCCTGCGTCGCTGCAACAATGAAACCACCAAACACGAGAAAGTGAGAGCCTCTTGGAGAAACAGAGAGAAAGAGCAAAGAATGAGAGGGGGAGAAATTAAGGAGGCAAATTTAAAAAAAAAAAGAAAAAGAAAAGAAGAAGGGCTGCACCATCCTGAGAGCAGGAGGAAATGGATGGTGAGCAAAGGTGGCAGAATAGAGAGCAACCCGGAGAAAATAGCAAGGTAGCTAATCCCTTCAGAGATAAAGCAGCTATATGTAAATGAAAAACATGAAGTTTGGCCATCTTACTTTGATCTATGAATCAGGCTATCCCTCCCTCCCCCTCCCTTCGTCCTTCACTCTCACCCTCTTCTCCTTCCTTCTTTTCCTTGTAAGAAAATCAAGCCTTATTTAGCTTAATCTCACTTAATGGCATCCAGCTCCTCTTTTGTCCTCCCTGATGCTAATAGATTCCCGTCCTTTCACTCGCCACTATTCACATATCTACCCTCCATAATCCCCTTATTCTGGGGTAGCAATTATTTTGAGTATTTTATCAGCATTATGATTATGATTATTTTCATTATAATTATTCATGCAGGCTGCGCCAAGGGCCAGGTTGTGGCTGAGAATATCCTCCCTCCCACCAGCGCCTCTTATTCTTGCTCAGAATGAGGCTGCCGGCTTTCTTCCAGAGGGGTGGCGAGTTTGCAGGAGTGAACCCCATTCAGCGCAACACATTTTCTGGGCGTTTGAACATATTGTGGATTGAGTGTAATAAGTAGCACCAAATCACCCATCCCGGCTCCTTAACACAGAGAAACATTTGAATTTGAGGATGGAGGAGAGAGAAGGGGCTAATAACCAAAAGGCCTCCTTTCTGCGGCGCAGTAATTACACGGTTGGGTTTTGATCTTTTGCTTGTTGGGGCGATGAATAGGGGAAGAGATGAGGACTGTTTCACTATTTTGGGGTGGTGTAGAGGGTGGAAGAAGCTTTTCAGCTCAGCATCTCGTCAGCGTCAACGATGAAGGCTCAATGAACATGGCAAGGCGCAAGGAGAGGTTTGCCCCCATTCATTTACTATGAGTGAATCACCTCTCAAGGTATTGTGAAACAGCAGGCAATGCAGTACTGACCAGAGAAAAGCGAGGGGTCATAAGTAAAAAATTTCAAAGGGTAATTTTTAAACCTATTTTTACATAGGGGGGTCTTATTTGAGGGGGGTCTAAATGACTACTAGGTACAAAAAGTTTTGGAAGTGGTCCAGTAGATGCTTTACACAGCAGCAATGAAACGAGCTCCAATGGTTTAGGCAAAGGATTACGTTGCAGACATTGCAGCCAGTTTTACATCTGCCAGTTGAGGCAATCTACTGGACCAATTCTAAAAAGAAATTAGTCATTCAGACACCATCATGGTATAGTTTTTATATCCCGACAGCAATCAATAAATAAAATGCTCTGACACAAAAAAAAATCAAGTATCTCTGGCTGTCTCTGGACTATCATAAGCATGGCCCGAACATTTCATTTGTCCTAAACCGCCTACCTGCACGCACTCTGCTGGTGTACTGATTGTGCATGAGAATGTGTTTTGGTTGGATACTTATAAAAACTAACTGTCTCTTGCTAGTTCTCCAAACATTGCCCACCCCAGCTTAAATGTTACCCGGATTTTAATTTTTACCAACCAAATGAGGAAATACTGTTAATTAACAATTCACAAAATGTTGATACTGAACATATCAGTAAAATGTTCACCATCAAAATACATCCTTTCCTGGCCCATTTTGCTTTAACAAGGATTGGAGAAAATCTCAGTTAGAGCAATAAAGGGTGGGATCTCTCACCCAGGATGGACAGACTAGATAGTAAAATTGCTATATGGACAATCAGGATGACAAAATTATAGGTAGATTGTGAACTATACAGAACATAGATCCAGGAGGACCTTGAACGAGTGCTGCCAAACCGACCTGAATCACATGACCTCCATGGAGACCTGCAAGAGAACAGACTACACAAACACACAAGAGGCAAAGCCCAAGCACATCAATCAGACAGCTAGGGAAAAGGAACAGACACATACAGAGGGAGAGAGAGGGACAAGAGGAGAGCCTGAATCTCTTGGATCCAGATCCAAAACATCTGGAATGAGGCCCCGACAGCCAGGGGAGGGAGAGAGGTCCCAGCAGGGCTGAAAGTTAAGATGAAAAGTTTTAAGTTTGGATTTAAAGGCCTCACACTGTCTCATATCAGCAGGAAGGTTATACCAGAAGAAGGGGCATGATAGGAAAAGGCGCTGCTGCCAGCTGACTTCTTTATAACTGTGGGGACGGAGAGAAGTCCTGTATACTGAGAGGGGAGAGCACAGGATGGCATATAAGGTCTATAGGTATGAGGGGCTGAGCCCATTCCGAATTGTTTAAGTCATCAGATGCACCTGATCTGAAGGCAAGCTAGTTGCAGCATTGTGAAGAGCCAGCTAGATTACTTTCTAAAGAGAAAGGAGGAGTCAGACATACATATTGCACAAACAGCTGCATGTTGAATGATAAACACACGTGGTTTCTCTATGATGCACTTTGACTGTGTTCCAGTTCCTTACTATATACTGCATATACAGCATAATTTATCCTGATTCCCAAAGTACTATGCAAAATTTTAATAAAATGCACTGTACCATCAATACAACTGTGACTTTTAAATACCAATTAAACTTCACAAAGAGAACAGCAAAAGGTTTTCCTTAAAATGTAATAATTTTTTGTTTGTTTGTTTTCAGAGAGATTCCTGGAGCTGTTTCGCCTCGACCCACCATTTATCTTAATTTTCTATTTCATTTCCCTTGTACATTGTATTGTGGGACAATATTGTCCATCACTACGCCAAAACAATTGAAAGTATTCTCAGAAATCAAGCAGTTTTTAGTATGCACACTAATTCAGAACATTTAATTTAGTGACTTTTATCTTGATTTAGCCAGGCCCGTATTTCTGAGAGGTGTCTGATCACACTCACTTAGTTACACACATTGTCGCTTGAAAGCTCCACTGGAGAGGATGGGGGTTCAGGGCCTCGCACTGGGTCTCACTATCCGAAGATCAAACCTGTAACCTTCCACCTACGAGTCTCTGCCTCTCTAAACTTCAGACCACCACTGCACCAAGAATTCGAATCTGTATTTAGTGTGGAATCTTATTCTCAACTTCTCTCCAACGCACACCTGCATGCTCGCTACCGCTCCCTCTCACACACACACACACACACCACACACACACACACACACACACACACACACACACACACACACACACACACACACACACATAGCATAGGTATAAATGCTGGGCTTTCTTACAAAGTTTTTCTAAATAATATTAAATAGACATTAAACAATAAGCAACAATTAAAGTGAGAGTTAGAAAAAAAATGGAAACAATAAAAGAACTGTCTTCAGATACTTAAAGTATATTGCTTAACTGTAATTAGAGCGTGGAAATAAATTACCATTTTATAACACAACTCTGCCCACTTTAAACTCCTTGAAAAGAGCACAGACAAAACACACTTACAGAAATCCTTTGTGTGAAAATAACAAAACCACTTTGGCTGCTATTCTGCTAGTTTGTGTATATTGCTCACAGCAAGAAACTGAGAATAGGTGTTTCAGATCTTTTAAAAATTATTATTTTTTATTTCAGTCCTTGATTTGGGCCCTCTCCACTTGTGGGTGCCTAAAATTGTCAACATCTTTCACCCAACACTCTACAACACTGCAATCAGTCATTACAGCTTACGCTTTCTACAAAAATCATCAAAGTAGTCAATTGTTTCTTTGTTTGTGACATAAGAGAAGTAATGCATTACAACTTCTCTCTGAAACAAAAAGGGGATTGTTAGACTTACTTCATCAAAAAACTGTCCTACCAAATACAGAATAGATCCATTAGGTTTGAAAGGATCAAAGGATAATCGTGAGTAATTACAGGAAGATATTATAAATGTGTTAAAAATATTAGAAAAATAACAATTCATATAAAAAAGTTCCATACATGTAACAGTCATCAAGTCCGTTCTTCGGGAAATCCTTTTCAACTTCAACTTCATGGTGTCACTTTGGGAATCTTGGAGCCGGAGTTGAATGGCTAAATCTAGGCAGTCTGCAGACTCCACACGGGCACAGGGGCCCTCCTGAGGCCCCTGTAGAGCTCCACTGCATAGGAGCCAGCGAGGCGTCCATGGGTCCCGGAGATAACAGGGTACATTTAGCAGCCGAGGACGATGAAGTGGAGGAAGTGGAGGAGGGGGCTGCTGAGGTGAGGAGGGACTCCTGGGTGAGGAGGAGCTGGCTGGGGCCAGAGATGAGGGGCCAACCTCCAGCAAACAGCAGCCGGGGGACCGGTCCTGTGTTCATCCCCATCCCAACGCTTACCTCCCCTAGCAGCCGCCGCATCTCCTGCAAAGATGAACCCAAGAGGAGGATGTAGTTTCTGGCCAGAACCAGGGTGGAGATCTTGGAAAGCCTGCGGCCTGGAGGGGCTCCGGGCTGGTGGGACTGAGAGGAGGAGGCAGAAGATGGCGAGGAGGCGTAAGGCACCATGACCTCCCTCAGGGCATCCATGGCGATGTTTAAATCCTGCATCCGCTTCCTCTCCCTGCTATTGATCTTCCTCCTGAGCTCCTGCTGCTCCTCTGGGCTCAGCTCCCTCTGAGGTTTGGTTGATCTTTGGCCACTCTGGAGGCCAAGCATGGGTGCAGCATTTAGGCGGGAGGTCAGGTTGAACCCTGGAGGGCAGTGGGATAAATCCTGGACAGACGTGGGGCCACAGAGAGGTAGAGACTGCTCCTGGGCCCTGATCACCTGGTTTGACAGCACATTCATAGTCTCTTCAGAGGTGTGCTAGTGTGTAGTTAAAAATGTCTCCAGCAAAAGATCAAATGTGAAAGACAAAAGTACTTCACTTCTGCTTTTGAAAAATCCAGAAACTGCCGTCCTCCTGTTGATCTCGCCTATGCTTGCAGAAAACAGCTGCCATCCAGCACTATAACAAGTCACCAAACGTTTTTACTTCTGGGCTTCAGAGGTTTCTGGCTGAGTGAGAGCTTCCTAAAGTGGCTGCTCAGTTTTATCTCATTTCCACAGCTGCGTGTGGTGAGAATGACAGCTCACACAGTGGATAAGTGAGCTAAATGCTCCCCTCACATACCCCCACCTCAGCTCAACTCCTCCCCAACACATTACAAACTCACTCTAACTTTTGACATTTTACTGAACATGAGCACGATAAAGTTAAAGACTCTAATTAACTTTTACTTGTTTACTGTGTTTTTGATATGATCAGACAGCAAAAGTAGAGGCAGTTTTCCAAATAGCACTTTTTTATCTCAGTGATGAGATAGAAAACATGTGGATTATCTAAAGATAAAAAGTCCTGTGTCCTGACATCATATTTGTTTGTTTTTACATAATCAAAGTAAAATAAGTAAAGAAGCGGCTTTCCGTGCACATAAGCAAGTAATTACTTCTATGTAGATTGTACTGGATATAAAATTCTAATAAATGCAACCAGAAGGAGTGACAGACGCTTAAGACAGGTGGGTTATTACATTACAAGCTCTCACAAGTTTTTTATGGCCATGTTGGTCCTTTTCCACTTTCAAATATCTATTGAATAGCTATAAAATCCTAATGTTTTTGTTCATAACATCCATAGTCCCCAGATGATGAATCCCTTTTGTGATCTCCTGACTGAAGTTTTTAGTATGTCCAAAACTTTGGTTTATGACTAAATACCTGCAAAACTAATGACATTCGCGTCATCCTCAGATGTACTTTTAGCACCAAAGCACCGCTGTGCCTAAACGCAGCCTCTCAGAGCCGTCGGTCTAGCTGTAGACTCTTGTTAGTACCTGACACCATGAGTAACACTGCTTTCACTTTTTCTTTGTCTGAAGCTAATTGAAAGCACACACACAAAAAACAACATTGTGAGTTTAATGGAATTTACCACTAGAAGCAATTAACAACTTGGAAGCCATTAAAATCATCAGTACTTTGTTATGTGACAGAGAGCAGGTATTAGCAGTATTAGCATGGGTACTAATCGTGTCAGAGAACAGTTTTGGCAAACAGTGAATGGATACATCATTGTGTAGCTGGAGTTAATTGATGGTTTTGAGGTGGACGTTATTGTTGCTCAGTTCTGAGCGGCTGCGCTAACCAAATTGGCTGGCAGAGAGCTGGGCACGGTTCCAGACAGGCAGACAACAGACCAATTGACTCCAACCACAGGTGAAGCTGGCTTGGGGCACCGAGCAAGGCTGAAAACCTCAAATGTGCCATTCATGAGTCACAAAAAGACCTCGACATCACTCCGTTGCACAGTGAGCCTGGCCGTCCTCTTTTTGCACTCCTTCCCCCCTCCTCCTTGTAAAAGCCCATCTGAGGGGGAGAAAAGGAAGGCGGGGGTAAGAGGGGAAGGACAGCACCGTTACAAACAGAAAGCAAGTTGTTTATGATGAAAGCAGAAGGAGATGCAGAGGAGGAAGACCCTTTCTTTTTTTCCCCAGCCGCTCTTCTGTTGTCGTTCAACAAGTGAAAGATGTGTGTGGAGGCGCTTCCCTTCCCTGCCAGTGGTCCGGTGGCGTCCGGCTGGTGCTGTGATTGAAGCTGAATGGACGGCTGCAGACGGACAGGAAAGGGAGGGCCTCCTGAAAAGAGCCAGGCGGATGGCCCTCGCACCTGCAGGAGAACAGAGTGCAGGCAGCTAGGATGAATGTGTACGTGTGTGTGTGTGTGTGTGTGTGTGTGTGTGTGTGTGTGTGTGTGCGCCTGTGAGCTCAATTTGATTTCTAGTGCCTGTCTGACAATGAGAGGTAATAAACTGAGTAATGAAAGAAAACAAGTGGTGATGGTTTTGGCTGTATTATGGGATCTGGTTTCAGTGTCAAGAGAGAAAAAAGGGACACCTGCAAGGAGCCTAACATACAGAAGTCAGAAAAGAGGAGAAAGAAAGAAGCTGGTGTCTACCAGAAAAGTGCACCTCCCCCACTTTTTTATCCACCACTTACAAGGGGAAGAAAAGTGAGCTTGATTTGGGGCTGCAGCCCAGCATATCCGCCTCCCAGCTTCCAGGGTCCTTTTGATGAGGCTGGACCAGGGCAGGAGCACCGGTGGCTTCAGGGCAGGGGGAAGACTAGTGTCTTTATGGTGGAAGGAGTACTATCCATCTGGGCAAGGCCGTCCAATGGTGGGTCTGCACCTGGGAGCTAAATGCCTAGTCTGTGTGGAGCCATTTCCTGCTGCTGACAGACAGGAAGACACCTCAGCCAAACTCCTTGGTTAAGTTATCCCCCAATACAGGATGAAAAATACACCCAAACTGATACCACTGAAAATAATGGTTATGGATTCCTTTTTGAAATGCATTTTTTCTTTTCTTCACTGCGGTTTCTTTGAGTTGTTTGTGTTTATGATTTTGAATCCACAAATCTCCAGTATTGATGAGGCAGTATTGATTAACCCAGATTTACATCTACAAGTTTACAAGTTTACAATAAGGTTTCAATTAATTAGGGTTTGCCAAATGTGATTCTGATGATAGGAATTGAAGTGAAAAATTGCAGGAAATGAAAATGAGCATTAATAGAAAACAGTAAATCAGTGAATTGCAGGGAATTTAAACTGCAAATGTTATATTAAATTTCAAAATACTTACTAAGTTTTTTTTTATTAGAGATTTTTTTATGCTCTTTTAATATTGATAAATAATCACACATATATTCACACATTATTTTGAAGAAAAATATTGAAAATCTTTGCTCCTCAATTTGGACCACCGGAGCACAGAAGACATTTCTTTGTTAAAACACGCACAAAACAACCTCCATTGGCTCATTAATTGAGTAGGTTTGGCATAATTATAAATCAATGGATATAATTGGATACAAATTAAGTCAAGCCACAGGGTGGCTGCAGCAGGTCCGGACACAGTCTTGACTTAATGGAGTCAATTTACGTCAGGTGTCTGATTGAGCTCTTTTGTGTGTCACTTGATGCTGTTTGTTGCCTTGGTGGAAGGACTTATAATGTTGTTAATGTCTGAAGAAGGCTCTCCAAATTGGCACGATTACACAGATATTTTCTGCGTCTTTATCTGTTTGTCACTGACTGTCTTGCTTGTTCCTCAAAACCTCCTGATTGAAAGACAAAAAACATTTATTTGACTGGTCTGACTGGTTGATGTTGGGCAATGCTATAAGTGTAATAATATACTCAGAGTTGTGGTGATATAGAAATGAATGTACTTCTTAGTTGTAATAAATCCATTACTGTGGTTTCCTCAAACTCCATTATTATCTCGAGACTCCTCACAAAGGCTGAATTACCTCCACTTCACTGCAAAAGCAGTAAGGTCCATTGTGTGACAGCTAGTTTGTGATAATTTTTTAAAATTTAAATTAATTTGTTAAAATGTACCACCTAAGCACAGAATGATATGAAATCATGGTGCTTGAAGTCAGGTCCTGATTTATTACCTAAACTTGTGACCATGTCTTGTACAACATTGGAAGGACCCTTGTATGAATCTACATAGTAGCATTTTCCTAAATAGTTTTTCATCAAATAATCCAATTGACACCAACATGTATGAACAGGTGTACTGACTGGTTTCTGGGACTCGATAAAATTTAATAAATAATCCTTGGGCAACTGCGTGCACTGTGCATGTTGGGTACTTGCATGCACATAGCTCATTTTCCCATAAGGTCCCCTAGCTGGTTATACCAGCAACACAGCTTACAGGTAAAACACATAAAATAAAACAATAAAACAGAAAAGAATTTCATACATATATTGTTAATTAAAGAAGTGACAAGGCTGTACCTCAGCTGATTCTTTCTCCTTTAGGACACACACATGAAAGCGCACAAAAACTCTGAGGTAAACAAGACTCATGAAATTTGTGATCCTGAGATCTCAAGAATGAATAGAAATTGTACCAATTTCTTGCCATATTTGCAATTTTTTTGGCTGTACCACTGTTAAAAGCCTAAGTAAAATAACATAGCATAGAAGCATAGAAAAAGTTTGTAAATTGCATCAGAAAAACAACTAATCCATTTATTTTAGATTGCAAAATCCTCTTTGGATTAATAAACAGTATTTCTGGTCATTTTTTAACAGAGTAGCTAATCAGAGCGATAAACAAGGAGGTGCACCTGCTACAGGCTTGAAACCCCAAACTGTCTTCAATTTCCAATATGCAGACAGAGTCTAATGAGAAATTAACAGTTGCCTGTGACTGCTTTTTCTCCATGTGTCCTGCGGGCAAACAGGTGCAGCAGTAACAATGGAAATATAACAGAGCAGGATTTTCAGAGGAAAAAGGCTGCTCTGCATCAAAGCAAGGACGGAGGACACACTCGTCTATTCGCCCTAACTCCTGCTCTGTGAGGCTTGGCCAAAGACATGAGAAGATTACAAGCTGTTAATAAGGTGGAACCAATCGGCTGAAGGTTTGCTTTTGTCCTTCCCAGCATGCTTTGTGAGCGCTGGCCTGGGATAGTCGGCATTTGGTGCTGATCATAGTGTGGCAGGGATAATGAAGGTGGGAGGCGTGTAAGGTTTAAGCCCTCGGGCCCTTTGTGAAAGAGAGCCTAAATGCTTCACTCTCAATAGCTGCACACGCTCAGTTGGTCACAGTTGTTTAAATACAGATGGACATTTGCCACATTCATATTTCATGCTGCTAAGTGCTCTACTGACACTTTCTGGCATTACATTTTTGCTTGCTGTGTTGTGTCTGATATTTGAAGTCCTGCAAGATGTAGATGTGTTCTTACTTTAAAATGAACAGCCTGAATATTCTGTGACATTTAAAAGTGTTCTTGAATGTTTTCTAAAGTTTTACATTGACAGTCAAGTACTCCAACCTTTTCTTACGGTTGTTTAAAATGACCCTAAACATAACATAGCTCAATGATTGTTTATTGTTAGAGCAGATGTTCCTCTCTGAAACAATGCCACCAGGGATTTGTAAGATGGCTGCTAATAGGGGAGTGTTAGTTAACCCGTCCCCCACAAAGTATCCCTAAAACCCCCAATCCTATTTAACCATGACAATGATGGATTCACAGACACTTCCACAGGAATCCTTGTCAGAAGTCAAACACAGAGCTCCTTCTTCTTCTCACCAAGCGAATGAGGCCAGGAGCACCCCAGTTAAAGTTGTTGTGGGGGCAGGTTGAAATGTTTCTTTTGGGTTTTATTTGCGCTACAAGGCCAAGGGTGGGTTTTCAGAGGTTATCCCTGTCTGTATGGAGGGCGGTGCAGCGAGACCAAAGTCACTGTTAAAGTGAAAGCTGATAGCAGTATGATGGATGGGGATACACGTCCCAGAAATTAGACTTCTGAAAGAGAAGCAGTTGAGCGGGAGAAAGGGGAACAGACATTGGATGTGTCTGCCAAATAAAGAGACTACAACAAAAACTGGCTTAGCAACAGAAATTCTAACATTGGATAGTCTCAACTTGAAGAAAATTTTCACTTCAACACCACCCCACTCACCGCATCTCAAGAAACTCTAAGAACTCTAACAAACCTTCTCCTTGCTCATTTTAAAGAAAGAAAATCTTATTTTCTTAGTTTTGGCTGTCATGTCTATCAGTCAAAATGACATTGCATTCATCAAGTTAAAAGCAGAGACATCACTAAAAAGAAGTCAGATGGAAAAAATAAGACCAGTTAGATGTTGTAAACAAAATTTGGATGAGAAAGCTAAGCTAAACATCCATCACAGTTTTAACTTTGACTTACTGTGCTTGCTGTAGTTGTAATACATCAGTGCACTTTTCCAAAGAAATGGTTTTAGATCATTTGGCTTGTTTACCACCTATCATTTGACTGCTTATGCCCTGATAACACAATCTGAGCTCTCAGCAATTCATTTGGAGAGTAGGCTACCTTGTTAAGCTTTAAAAATGATGGCCAAACTATGAACATACTATGTCCATATTTTCCAATCTCTCAATAAATGTTGAGAATACCCTCCAGAGCTGAAAACCCTGTTGCACTTTGAAAATGCTGATGTATCTTTTTGATGATGCCTTGACAAACGTCGCTTGGGAGTTCTGTGTGTGAGCAGTCATTCAAATCTAGCATATAACATCTATCCATCCATCCATTATCTATACCCGCTTATCCATGCTGGAGCCAATCCCAGCTGACATTGGGTGAGAGGCGGGTTATACCCTGTACAGGTCGGCAGACCTTCACTTGGCATAGAATATAACAGTATTTTAAAATGTATCCACATTTGTGTGGACATTTCCTGCTCGGGATCATCCCTGGAGGCATCCCTTTGGACAGGTTTCACGCTCGGCCAGCTGTGAGGATACCGCGAGGCAGAACCAGGACACGCTGCAGGGATCACATCTCCCAGCTGACCAGGGATCCACACAGAAGAGCTGAAAGATGCTGGGGGAAAAGGTGTCTGGTGCTCTAATTGCTTCTGTTTGCTACACCATGAATGAATTGATCAGTGGATAAAACTTTGCTCAATCCAATTTTGGGGGTTGTCAAAGTTCGGGGTGACCACCACACTCTTTTTAACGCCAGTTTTTTAAGTTAAACTACGTCCTGTTTCTATGCCTTTTAACTTCTGAAATACCAAATTTCCACCTTAAATACCCCCTATTTTTCTTTGATACTCCAATACTCCAATACTACACTATTAAACAATACATTGAAATATTATGTTCAATATTTGCTTGTTTCAACACCAAAGCTATGACACTGCGCTTTCCAACTTGTGCTTAGTTGCACAACAAGAGTTTGAAGGTTAAAATAATGTTTTGGGTGGGTCATGTTTTCTACCTCTTGTTTTATGAAAAGAGAACTTTATTTTGCATTTAAGACATTGTTCTGATTTCACAAAATATTGCCACAGCAGTCTGGCAGATGGATGCAGTGGATGTAAGATGATTCTTTCAGACGTTGACAGACACATCTGTCAGCCTACCCTGTATTATACACACAAACACACACACAGTTAAACCCCACAACCCCCCTTGAGGCAGCCCCAGAATCATCTCGCTGCTGTGTCTTACAGCCTCCTCCTCCTCCTCCTGAAGCTCATTCACCTCCCACTGTGCTCCGCTCCTCACAGCCTCTCAGCACTTTAAAATCCTCACTAAGTCCTGAGAGATCAGACTGAAGCAGCCACCACTCTCCCTTTCCATTCAGCCTCCACTCTGATTAAACTGCAGCAGGTTTATCACAGATGTTGTCCAAACTCATGACTGGCCTCCCACTGAGGACTGTTAACTACAGAGAGTGTGATAGCAGGTGATTTGCCCCCCCCAACTTTATGAAGTAAATGGCTAAATGCATACCTAAATGTGAAAAAAGGGAAAATATTACTGTGGTTTTCTTCTGTCCAGCTTACTTGTGAATCAGATGACAGCCATTCTGTGAGTGGTGCTAATTTGATTTATGAAACAGGACCCCAGGGGAAGCAACAACTCAGAGAGCAGACATATGTTGCAGCGCAACATGATAGCAGGCTTCAGTAACTTGACAAATTGGGGTTGTAGTTATTACAACATCTCATAGTGGTATGACTGCTGTGGAGGCAGAAATAATCACAGTGGACTCAAAACCAGGAAAGTTATTTTCTGGCTATGCAGCATTAGACTCTTAACTTGTTGATGTTTAGCAGATATAATGTTTATCATGGTCGCCATCTTAGTGTGTTAGTGTGGCTACAATTTCTTAACATATAGAAGATATTTGGGTCAAAAAAGTGTGTGATTTGACATGGGAGACCTATAGAGATTCCTGTTTCCCACTGACAGTCACCATTGGTTTTTGTTAACTATGGCGACCATCACTTCCTACTCTTAAGAAAGTATTTGAAACCAAACCATGAGCTTTCCCAAACCTTTATCAAGCAGTTCCTGGGCCTAACCAAACTCTAACCAGAGTGGGACCAGAATGTCCATATCATATAATCACTGTTGTAACAAGTACAGATCCATCCATCCATTTCCCTCAATGTAAGACATGAAAGATCTCAACATAGGTGTGTGTGTGTGTGTGTGTGTGTGTGTGTGTGTGTGTGTGTGTGTGTGTCCCAACAGCACTTTAGTTTCCATGAATCCTGTCATGTTGAGTTTCTTTGTCCAAATGTCCCAGCTGCCAGCAGCAGTCGAAGCTAGCAGGGCCACAGCCAGGGGACAGACAGACTGTGAGATGGTCAACAAACCATATGTCATCCACACACAAACGCACACACTTTTTGTTGGTTACCAAAATATGAGCTTCACATCAATGTGTGTGTCTATCTATGTATGTGTGTGGTGCGCATGAGAACAATAAAGAGAGAGGGAGAGAGAGACTATGAGTGTGGTGTTTTGAAAGAATTTGATCATTTCATGATAAATGTAACACACAACACACAGTTTTTCAAAGTATGGTGTATTTGGAGTAAACACAAAGCTAATTTTGGAGATGGAGTGATTTCATAAAAAGTTAATGGAAAGACTCAAGGTGATGCCAGCAGATGCTGATATACCCATTTGTGCCATGGGAATTAATCTGCTGCTATATCCATGTCCCCTTCCAGGTTTTCCACCGGATTTTGAACCTCTAAAGAAGACATTAGTGAGGTCCAACACTAATGTTGGGAGATGAGGGCTGGCTCGCAGTCTGCACTCCAGTCCTAAACGTGTTGGACGCGGTTAAAGTCAGTGCTCTGTGCAGGCCAGTCACGTTCTTCCACACCAAACTGGGAAAACCATATCTTTATGGACCTGGCTTTGTGTATGGGCGTATTATCATGAAACAGGAGGCGCCCTGCCCCAAACGGTTGACCCGTTGTCTTAAATATCATCAAATACTGTAGCATTAAGATTTCCCTTCATTGTAACTGAGGGACCTACTCCAAACGATGAAAAACAGGCGCAGACCAAAAGCACAAAACACAGGGGTGTTTAATCACTCAATCATTTTTGACACCACAACTTTCCTCCTCAGCAACAAACTGTTGCTGTGATGACAGTAATTAGAATTTATTTAGTTTCCAAATTCAATGCTAATGTGTGTATATGTTTCTCAGATTGGGGGACAGGTGAACACACCACACCGTATCACTCTCTTGAAAGGCATAGAGGAGGGCCTCATCAATGTGATGTCCACCCATCAAACAACTGGTCCCAACTGGCCCCAAGCACACCCCTCTGAGACCTCTGTGTTTCTGCATTGGTTGATTCATGTCCCAGTCCTGCACTCCTCAGATTCACTTTGATGTTTAATCCCATCCTCACTGTGTCCTCCTTCAGTGCGCGGAGCCGCTCGGCCAGTCATGAATATCCAAAGGTCTGCTTACTTGACAGGATTATCCCTCTTTTCAAAGCCACTGGGGACGATTCTTCAGCCACAAAAAACACACTCAATGGATCTTCTGCTCTCCCTCTTTGTTTCTCTCGCTTTCCTTTACTCTCACTCACTCTCTTCTGTCTTTGTCCCTGTGGGCTTTTACTAAACACATTGATCCACCCGATCGAGGAGTTCATCTGCTCATGTTCATAGATTATTGGACAGACACACAAACACACACACACACACACACACACACACAGTATTGTTAAGTTGTTAAGTATCTAGTGTTGAAGAAATATCCTAATGAATTTATAAATGGTAGAAAGTATCTGCACCACAGATTTTTTCACATTAATATCTCCACTTGTTATTGTGAACTCCACCTCACATGAAGTTGTCACACACAAAAACTTGAAATGTACTCCAGGAGACTCACCTAATGAAATTCAGCTGCAGTTGTAAGTACCTCATTGCAAACTAAACCAACATTCCTGGACTGTATTTCATTGTTTTAACTGTAGGACAGATTTCTGACACCTACAGTATATTCCAATTGGTGAATCTACTACCATCAGATCCAGTAAGATTGTTGTGAACAGGGTGGGAATTATACAGTGACAACCGGGGGGGGGTCAACTTTTTTTCCAGGTCAAAAGAGGAAACCCAGTACAGCACAGGTGCGTGCTTCAGTGAACTAAAATCTTACAAAGCTTACAATATCCTCGCTTATTTAACTAATGTCATCAGTCTGTAGGTGATGATGAATCAAATTCATTACACCAGTTCACGGGTGCCCCATACCACACAACAACTTTTGTAGTCAGAGGTCATCAAGTATTCTACAGCAAAACTGCCTGCAAGTCAGACACACAACAGCAGACCATCATGACCGCTCAAAACAGACCCACACAATGCCGAACCAGAACCAAAGACACTATCATAAAATAGCCTAAAGTCGGCATTATCATATCTAATTCCTAATTCTTATTATTCTCATCAAGTTTAAAGTTTCAACTTACTCTTTTTTAGCAAATGTCTCCTTTCCTCTTGCTCATGTTGACTGTGAATGATGTAATCTGCGTCCAATAAAGCAGTAGTCATACACTGTTGTTGGGAAATTTTGGGGGGAATTCCAGAGTTAAAACAAACGTCATGTTTATTGTGAAAGGACTCACAAAAGACTTCAAATAAAATAATAAACGCTATATTGATGTAAAAATGTATCTCTAGCTAATCCCCAATTTCACTGCTCATGCCTATAAGAACCAGTGTTAGCTGACAATTACATAAAATTGACAGGGTGGGCTCTCAGCTAGCTAACATCAGATAGCTCATTTTAGGTGAAAGTAATGCTAATTACAAAACTCTGAAGGTAGAAAAGATAAGTGTATTAAAGCAGCTGGATAGTCCTGACATTAAATTACAGTGTCTCCATTTGCGTGTGATGTACCGGACCGGAGAAGCTGCCGCTGTGAGTGATGTGGGCAAACAGCCGTTCAACTAATGGCAATCTTAGAAAATGGTACGGTCCATTTTAGGGGTGTCTAAAATCGTAATTCGAAACATGGTTCTGACCGTGTTGCTTTGAGCTAAATAAACAATATTACCACAAATGTTTACAGTTTTTGGAAAGAATTTATTTCCCAACATATAAGTCTTGGCAAAGTTGTCAACAGCTAAATACTTAGCTTATAAATCACTTGCTGGTCCAACCCTTACAGTCAGGGTTTCTTTCTGTGTGAGTCCATCACAGTGTTTAATGGTAGTTAAGGGTGAGCAGATGAGGGAAAGGGTGACCTCTAAGGTCTCATATTCACCTTAGAGCTCCATCTATTCCCTTGTAAGTGTTAAATCCTGCCTTTGTCTGTGACAGCTTCTCTGTTTGTTTATCTTCTCTCCCTCATTCCTCCTGTGCTCCATCATAGACTGTTTCTCTTTCTGTTATTCCGCCACCTTTGATGCATCCCACCAATCTTTAATCCTTTCAGCTAACACAACATGATGCTCTGAGCTGAAAGAATGTACATCTGTGCAGTGTTTTCAGGAAGGTTTAAATCCAGTTACAACAGTGTTAGACTGATGCTTCCCTTCTGTCCAAAGTTATGAATATTTAAACTGTCACAGAATCAACCTCAGACTCTCAGCATCAATGGATGAGTCAGCCTGCCACCAACAGTGGATGAGGAGCTGTTTATTCAAATCCAGTCACAGGCATGTGAAGCCCAGCTGCTTTTGGCCAGAGTGTTCAGGCAGAGCCGAAAAGATGTTACACAGTCAGTTTCACTTTTAACTTTTGGATCATGTTGATCTGGGTGTAGAGAAGAAAAAATCATAAATTTAAACATGCCATTGTATCAACATATTCGCAAATGTCTCCAACAAAAGAAGATAAAAAGACAAAAAATCATTTAAATTAATATAACAACTATGTATTAATTATTGTGGACTAAAGTTACTTTTAGTTGAAAAAATAAACTCCCATTAGAATTCTAAAAAGGCAACAAATTAGCAATTTATTTTAAAAGCCACTGCTGTTTATGTTGAATTTACCTTGATTAATCAGTGGAGAAACATAAAAAATGTGGGTGCTTCCACACAGTGCACAGCGGCTGAAGAGTTTGATGAGTATGAAAATTATGTGGCTCATTATGCTATGGCTTTTGCATTCACCAGATCTCATCCCATTTTAACACTTATGGTATAGCAATATGCAAAATGTGGAAAAGTTCATTGTTTTGGGTGAATATTGATTCACTTTTTGAATAGTTAACCACAATTGCTCCCTAATGTTCACCAAGGGCTTATAGCACCTAAATACAACCATAAAAATAGTAGTGATGCTTAACTGCCATGAGAAGGGATTAGGGAAAGTTTGTGAATGTAGAAATTTGGCAACTTTGCAGATATGTATACCAGGTAACATTATGTGTATTATCTTCCAGTCTCTTTTTTTGTTTCTGAATATTTATGAAGTGAATTCATAAAAGTTCGAGATAGTTGTTTTTTGCTCAAGTTGAAACACTCTCAACTCATGCCAATGCATTTTCGCCACAGTGTGCATCAGCCAGCACAAATTTACGTCTGCTTGTGTCTTTCCTTGCACTTGCAATTGCATCACCTCTAAAAGTTGCTTGCTGGAGTTCCACAGACTTTGAGAATCTATGTGAAGGAACAATGAAGCTGTTCTGGATGAACATGGTGAATCACCCTTCTGTAGCTGTCATTTGGTGCAGTTTGTGTCATCATGACTTCCTGACCAACAAAGCCCACTGACAAAAGAAAAGCAGTAACTCAAGACTGGGAAGGCAAACGAGAATCAAAATATAAAATCCACCTCAAAACTAACATACAGACAAGCAAGAAGGCAAAGACAGTTAACACCACTACGCAGACGAGATGACACTGAACAACGAGAAAACTTAGACTTAAATGCACAAGAGGGAGGTGACAAAGGAGGCACAGGCGGAAACAATCAGGGGAAAGCAAAATAATCAAACCAGCGGGAAAACACAAGAGCAGGAAGGGATGTGACCAAAAAACGAGAGGAAAGGAAGATACCTGCACACCTGTGCTTTTCATGGTATAACAAGTGCAACTGTCTAACAAACCTATAGATTCCCCCATTCACACTGGTGTGAATGGGGGAATCTTTTTGCTTAAGCCTCTTCCCAGGATTGTGTGGGTGCATTCAGACTGTAGCTGATTGGCATGGCTCTCACCATCCTGTCAATTTTATTGCAATTGCAGGAAATGACACCATTTAAGATTGATATTAGCACATGGAGTTACAAATATAGTCATACTGACACTGACACACTGACAGTCTTTAGATCAAGTCTAAATTAAAACACACGTGAGTTTGCAGAGAATTTAAGGCCGTTTGAAGATTTAGTCTCTGTTTCTAAAATTATTATTTTATTTTTATAATATCTTAATTTATGAGATCTTCCACTCATTTATGGCAAAGTCTTTCAAACAGGGCCTATCAACCATCTTGAAAAAAAAGTTGTAGGCCAATGACATAAAGTTTTCTGACTAATTTTAAATTAAATTTTTTGTGGTTTACTGTGGTTGGTGGTTTAATGTGTCACCAAATGTGGATCCATGCGGCTCTGCAGGACAAGATGATGTCTTTGATGAAAGTATGATGGGTTTGGGAAACACAACAATGGTCACATAAATATATAAATTTAAGAGCAAGGAGTTCCAGGGAGTTCTGTTATATTATACTAAGATTTAATGTTTTACTGCACATGTTAAGAGCTTTTTAAGAATGACTGTCTCATATTTTACCTGTAAATAGCCTGTATTTTTTGTCATATTGCACCAAATGACCTATTCCTCTCTGAAACGTCCTACAAAGCGCTGAAGGACTTTGAATAATTCAATTCCAGTAATGAGACGAATAAACAAATGCGTGCATGAATATTCAGAGATTTAGTTCATATCGTTCCAGCGTCAAAAGCCTTTGGAAAACATTGCAACAGGATGCACAATCTGCTATGCAGCTGCTACCTTTTTCTAAAGTATATCGGCCTTTACTCATCACTGGCGTCTTACTGCCAGCACATGCAGCTTTTTGTGCACATCCTTAGTGGCTGTTTGCACGCATATTTGCAAAGCTTCCAAATACAGATTTTTGTGGTCGCCATCTTGTCACACAGGTTAGATGGAAAAAAATCATTCAGTATTTATAGTATATTAATCTTTTAGCTCATTACAACATATCAGTTCTGCAAGATGAAAGTCCAGTTGGACATCACTGTTTGGTGACACTGTTGGGTTTGTGTTTAAAATGAAGCTGATTCCCAACCAGTTAAAGTCACTGTGAAGGATCACAAACACTGATGTTTGGATCTGAATATCATCCAGGAGGAGAGATGAGGTCGGGACAAGTTTGTTTCATGAGGGCTCAAACGCTAGTCCTATCATAGAATAATAATAAGAAATAAAACATGTTTAAATTATCCATTAAATCTAAAAGGAAAAAATGTCAAACTGAATTCTTGTTTATATGACATAAATTCTGGTTTATATTAGATGGACATCCTGAATTTTATGATGAATAATTAGGTTCAGATTTAAGCAATTGAAAAGATTCTTAAAGGAACAAAACAAGTAGGTTATATATTTTTTTTTATTCCTGGCTGAACTTTGAATTAACACTCCACAGATATTGTTAAAATGATTTTCTATGAATTCATCAGTTTTATTGATATAGCTCAAAATAACAAAAGTTTTTCATTTAACTTAGACTCCTTAAATTAAAATATAGGCCTATTTACATATTCTTTCAATGAATGGTATATGTGAGCACATCTTAATGAAGGCCATTTTATCCTCTTGGTAAAAAAGAGTTGGACCTTTACATGCCATTGTTCAGTGTTAAAGGTTTCTTCTGCCTATGTTTATAGCAGTATGTACTTTCAAAATAGAACACTTAAAAGTCAGTTTTCAGGTGAAATTGTGATTCTTAAACCCTGAAATATATACATTAAATGTCTTACTTAGACTCGGCATGTGCTAAAAAGAACAGTTTGATGTTGAAAGTATATCAGTCATTCAGCATAAAAAAATACTTTGTTTATCTTATGTGAAGATACATGTTTTTCTATAATACTGTTAAGGTTCAGTGTTTCTGTGATCTATTGCCTGTTTTTGCATCAGTGCTCCTTAAAAGCTTGCCAGACATGTCCCGCCTTCAGTTGTTTAAGCTACACAAAGACAAAAAAATAAAAATCACCAAATACTTTATCACTTTTCAATTAATCGTCTTTATTTTACATTTTTAAACCCCAACATAATCCTGCATTTCCGTCCAAGATAAGTAAATAAATATCATTTTCATTTTTTTAATTAAAAAAATAAAGAAGTGGTCATTGTTTGCATTGGACAGAGAATGACAGCCTACAGCGGAGAAAATAAGGAGAAAGCATTGAGTAAGACAGATAGAATAAAGCAGGTGCAACATGTGAGGAGAGGGGGAGACTTCCCAAACATTAACAAGACGAATATAATATCTCCCACTATTTAAACAGAATAACCCATCTA